CCACCTAACGTCTATGTTCCAAATGAATCTATAGGATCATTCTTAAGCTACATTTGAACAACAAGGCACAAATCACAATATCTACTCAATTAACCAACATAGAAGCATATTACACAAGTATCAAGATATAGATTCTCAAGGTTACCATCTTGAAATCTAAAATGCAATAACAACTAAATATAACGATTTAGTATGGATGTACTTAACAACATCAAATCGTCAATAACCAAAACCACAAGTCACAATTAAACATTGGTTGTCAACTTGGAATTTAATGCGAAAACAAATAGTGGAAGACCTGGACATCACGCTCGAAATTCTGTCGAGACCTCAATGGTTATTCCGGACACTAACCCGCAGGGAAGACCACCCAAAGTGCACACTATCTCAATTAAGGAGAACTCATACCTCCTGCACTAAAGCCGAACTTTAGCCATATCACAGTAACAATGTCCCAAGACTTCAAAATAATCAAATAAGTTCACAACTTATACATAATTTATATAATGCACTAAGTCACCTTCCATGCACAAGTAGATTGTATCCACACAAGACATGCTCTAAATCCACAACTACTATAGGATGACAATGTCAAATCTTCAAAGTGCGATTCGTTACACGCTATAACAATATAATCCAATATTGAAAACATAAACTCATAAATTCATTGTAAGTCAAAAGTCATGCTTTAAACATACTATTAATGTCAAATACATGAGTTAATCAATAATACAATAGAAACGGAATTTAATCAATAAACTAATTAAATTCTTTAGGTTTCAAATCTCAATCAAATGGCCTCGATAACAATATAGCATGGTCATTACATACACCACATCAAAACTCGATTAGGCCATAAGAACAATAAAGTAAAATTTAATTAAATCATGATAATCAAATTTCTAACTTCTAAAATAACATCAAATGGTTCCAAATTAACATATGCTTGAACATAAGTCATAGTTATCACAAATATCAAGTTGAACACTTAATTAGGCCAATGGATTAAAATCTCTAGATTTTCATACTTATCCAAATGCTCTCAAATTAAAGTATGTTAAACAATATGCCAAGACATAATTTAAAAGCATGTCACAAGTCAATTTCATGCAAGGTACGGCCATGGGATTTAATCTTTCACAAAAGATAAATATTAAATAAAAAGTGCAATTCTTATTCAATTAATCCCGATTTAATATATATTAACAAACATATTAAACCATAATTTATCATCATGCCACAATTCAAATCTAAACCATATACACCTTTGAATTTTAAATCTTATACAAAGAAATAAAAATACTAATTTTCTAGATTTGATACAAGGCATATATATACGTTGTATAATCATGGGAAACACTTAATACAACACACCAACAATCCTAAAACACTCCCTACCTCAATTTGAGATGAAAATCTCAAAAGCCATCAAAATAGAACGGCTCCGAGTCCGACGAAACTACTAGGTTTTGTCGGGGACAACACGATGATCATAACCCCCAAGGTAGCCCCATCAAAATCACAACTTGACTTTAAACCCAAACTTGAAAAATGGTCAGAAATGAGTTCTAATAAGAGTGAAAGATGCGCACCGCCAAGACGAGCAACAAACACTAAGGCACTACTATGTCGTGACAAAGGAATGAAGCCCAAAAGAGGAGAGAGAAGGTGGCAGCCTCCCTTGGGCTGCCATGGGAGCTTCAGGTCGTGCAAGAGGAGTGGGGAAGGTGAAAAATGAAATATCTCATCCCCCTTTTATAGAAATCTCAAAAAGTGCTCCGAACGGGCCCTGCCGGGTCCGAAAAAGTAAAATTTGAGTAAACGTGCTCAAATGGCAAAACTCTGTGAATAAAAAAGATTCAAAATGAGAAAATATAAACAACAGAAGAAACGGCGTCAAAAATCGAGTCCCGAGCAGAAAGTTATGTCCCAAACAAGTTTGGCACTAACTAGGGCTAGAAACCCTAAAACTGGGAAACAACGACCAGGCGGAAATCCTAAGAGTACACGACTCAACAAAAAGTGAAAATGAATTACATACGAGGATCCAGGCCCAAAATAAGGCATTTAGTAACAACTTTCATAAATTGCACAATGGCCCCTCCAAAAAGTGAAAACTGCACAACTGGCCAAGAATGAAAATATCTTCCAAAAATATTTTCTTAAAAACCCCTGAAATAAAATATCTTCAAAAGATATTTACGAAAAACACCCCAAGAAAAGAAAATAATTTCAAAGAACTATGCATCCATGCCCCTATAGACACCGGGAGCAACTAGAATACTTTCTTACAAAAGTAAAGATACGTATTTCGTGAAAATCACTTAGAATGAAGATATGTGAAGTCAAAAATCAACTCCGAATACAAGAAGTGAGGTTATGCCAACAAAGGGACAAACGGGGAAAGGACAAAATAGAGAAAAGGACGAGATAGGGAAAAGGACGAAAAGTGAATAGTGTCGAAAAACGAAAAATGTGGAAATGACTCGGTCCTCAAAGGAAGTTGTCAATCCAAAGAAAAAAGTCTCGGAAATCACTTCAGAGCACTCGAGACGACATTAAGCGACGAGGAACTGGACTCAGAAAAGAAAATATCAACGGAAAAAAAATGTCAGTGAAAATCTGAGAAAGGGAAAGGAAAAAAAATGACCGGGTCATTACATCATTGTGCAGATCAAGAGATGCTTTACAACTTCTCTAACTAGTCTTCACTCCAAATCCAAGCTCTAGGGATTTCGAAAATCTCAAGGTGGTCAAATCTCTAATTTTTCACCACGGTTGTGTAAAGAAGAAGAAGAGGAATAACTTTCCCTTCTTGGGTATACTCAAAATCAAAGGCTAGAGCCCTCAAAATGAAGCTTTTCTAAGTCTATACATGGTGGTAATATATCTATAGATATAGAAAGGGAACGTTTGAACTACGAATGCGGAAAGCAGACTCTTGCCAAACCCCATTTGCAGTTGACTTGAATCGAGATGTCGGATCACTCACTTCACACATTATATATAGGGAGGGAAGAAGATGATGAATAGTGGGAGAAATTGGGCAAATTTCTCTTATTTATACTCCCCTTATAACTTTCCCTTATTTACATCACTTAACCCCAAAATTCCATAACTAATTACTCTCTTCCTCCAAGCAACTTCCATGAAATTACCCTAAAGAAACAATCCACCGAAAATATAATAATAACGCCCTCAAATGACCTTTCAATTAGGTCCTCGCCCTTCCTGTGCACTTAGGCCGCCCCGGACCCACATGGGATCCGCCGGTCCAAAACTCAAAAGTGTCTGGAATGACTTGAGTTCTAGAATTGCCCTTTACTACTAAAATACCATAAGTGTGTGCTTTTTTTTTTTTTTTTTTTCCTCTTAAAATAAAAAAATTCTCCTTACTTACAATATTTATAACTAATACCCATTTAGAAAAAAATAGCAGTTGTTACCGAAATCATAAATCCTAAACCATTTAACAAATTATTTTAAATTCACTTTCAGTAAGTATACTAACAACATGTTAAAATACAAAGATATACTTTTCATGCATTATTGACTAATAAATGAATTATTTATATTATTTTTAAATTTTCAACTTCATTTTTCTTTAGAAATAAAATCTTAAGATTCAAAAATAAATCTGTATAAATTTGAGACAATGCTATTAGTTACATATATTCGGGGAGTTGCAATCCTATAGATTCAAAGGACAACCACCCACCCAATACATGCGTATAGCTTAAGTTAGTTTGGGTACGTGTAAATCACCAAGTAAATCTTTTTTTTTTAGCCAAAATGGGTAAGTTACATGACCAGATTTTGTGTATAGGACTGGTGAGTTATGCTGCAAAATCTAACAATACCATAAAAAGATGTTTCAACACCTCAATGTGTCATTGCTTGAAACTTGACATAACTATATATGTGTTAATGAAAAATTGTTTCGAGAAAATTAGTTAAGCAAAATAAATAATATATGAAAAGGGTAAAAGAGAAATTTTATAAGTTATAGAACTTTGTTGGAAATTTTATGAAAATTTATTACTTCATTGTTGTAAAGAAAATTTTTTTAGGACTTGTTTGTCTTTAGAAAGTACAAGTATGACTAACAGGTAATTACGAGAATCGTTTGTCGAATTTTCAAGAAATCATCAACCGAACCAAAAAGAGGTTGTGTGTGAGGTCAGGGTCAGACCAGCTGGTGCGCTAGGTAGGGTACCCATTCTCCTGTCAACCATGATTTATTCCATGATTGTTGCTCATGGCATGGTTGTGGGGGCCTTCCGATTAACCCAAATTTCAACACAATTTTCATTGAGAGTTGATTGCTACCAAACTCATGGTGGGTTGGGTGCGCACCCACCTGGACTGAAAGACCGCTAACACATTCAACCACTTTAATGCCGCGCTTGGTCACAAACCCACACTGCTGGGCTCGACAATATTGCAAAGCAATACTGTGTATTATTAATTTAAAATTCGACTACTATTTAATCAATGTGGGATTTGGAAATTTAGCTTTTGCTTTGTTTTTTTTAAAGGTCAGTTTATCATATTGGTTTCCTTGTAGAGTAATTGACTACTAAACTTTCATTAACTGGAGTACATAAATTACCTCTACAATTGGCGTCTGTGCCGATCACTCCTCTCCGAACTTCACCGGGCGACGATGGGACTGTTTCGAGCAATGCATTGTCACGATTTGGAGGGCTTTGACGAGTACATAGGAACCCATTTTGGACTGCCATTTATGGTCCTCGTCACAGAGTACCTCTTTCTTTTTCTCCCGAGCAATACAATATTAACGCGGTAAGTTCACAAGCATCTCTTTGTTAATAAGTTCTCTTTTTCAAAGTAAATGGGTCTTCTCTCATTACAACGAAGTCTGCTTCTTTTATATATATGAATATGCCCTACCTTCAATTGATGAGCATGTTTGTGATGGTCTGCCTTTGTCTACAACGTCTATATTTAGTTAAAGCTCTTAGTTGCCCCTAATGTAGATGGGTATTCTCTCCATTAAATAATGAATCACTTAGATTTCCCATTATGTACTTTTTGTTTTTGGGCCTTCCATTTACAGCTCAACATGGGGGACAGATTCTTTTTGGACCTTCAGATGGGTACTTATACTTTATGATGGGGGATGGTGGAGGTACAGGTGATCCTTACAATTTCGCCCAAAATAAGAAATCATTGCTTGGAAAGATAACGAGGCTTGACATTGACAACATACCAAGTGAGCTGAGAATAAGGACATTGATGAAACAAATGGTTATGGTCCTCAGCAGCACCCACACAGAAGATGCACACATTGGGCCACATTTTAAAATCCAGTGCTGGTTTGTCTTGAGTGGATAATTTGTCTTGAATAGCCAGCCATAAACAAAAGGCGTGTTTGGGAATAGAGTGCCTAAACCAAACCAGGTTGTGCCAATGGACATTAAGGTGATTTGGTGAAATAGATTTGAGGATATCTAACATGTTTGAGTGGATAATTGGTGTTAAGGTTGGGTAAGGATAGATTGGCTATGTCACACACTGGGGAAATCATATTGTGAATGTGTCTGGGCCATGCCCATTGCTCATTAGAGATCGATCAGAGAAGCAACCTTGATATTTTTGTTAATATTCCAACCACGCCTAGTGTTAGAATTCAGTACCTGGTAGATGCTCCATTACTGACTTTGTGTTGAACCATAGGTTGTGCTGAGTGTCTGTTCGGCAACAATTCCCTCGAAAACCATGTACAGCAGCTTTCCTTTGGTCTGCATACCATATCCCATGGGGCTTTAGCTCTGAACTTGACATAGAAGGTCCTGCCCATAGGAATCTTTGGTTCATTTGAGTCATCACTTTAGCTGGTAGGATAAACAGGTATGTCCAGAAGATGTGCATGCTACAGAGGATAGCTTTTATCAGTTGCAGCCTCCCTGCATATGAAAGTGAACTTATGTCATTGTTTGATTTGTTCATAAAAGAAAATGAAAAGGATAAACTTTGGATCTAAAGGATTACTAAAAAGATGGTAGTTACAGAAATCTTATATTTTCTTCCATGCTTGTTTAGCAAGCTAGTCATATTAAGAAGCTATTTAGTTTACTTTGCTTGGATCTGCATTTTTACTGTTCTCTTTTCCCTCTTTCAACATGTCACGTATTTCAGGTTCAGTAGAATTTAGCAAGCTTGGTCCGTGGGGAAACTACTCTATCCCCAAGGATAATCCATATTTTGAAGATAAAGAATTGCGGCCTGAAATATGGGCCTTGGGATTAAAAAGTACTTGGCACTGCAGTTTTGATTCAGAAAGGCCTTCCTATATAATGTGTGCTGATGTTGGGCAGGTATTAGTTTCCACTTCTAATATATTGGAATGGATGTTCATACTATCATTTTTATACAAATCAAGCTGCTGCATTGGTTGTTGGCTATAGTTTCAACCAACTAAATAATTTCTAAGTGAAGAGAGGAGAAGAATGAAGAAACAAATATTTTTCTGTATTGTATTGAACTCTTTGTTGTGTTGATATCTTAACAACAAATTCCTTACACTATATATACTATTCTCTCATAAACCTTTGAACTTTTCAAGACAAATCTCAACCACACACATGATACATGCACTCACTTGATACATGTACATATTTGATACATGTACCCACTTGATACATGAATAAACCTAAGATGCACATGAACATGAACATGAACATGGCATTAATTTATTTTTAACACACCCCTCTTAATGCCATGTTGTGACACTCAACAATTCTCTGAAGTATTCAAACTAATCTCTTGGAAGTGCTTTGGTAAAGATGTCCACATCTTGGTCTTCGGTCTTGCAATACTTGAGTTGAATCTCATCTTCTTCCTCTTATTCTTGAATTTCTTCCTTACCACTTCTTTAATTGCATTTTCAAACCTCTTCGGCTCAACAACACAAAAATTGCAACTTGCATACACATCACGAAGACTTTTCATTCTTCTTGGAGTTGAACTTGGAGATGAGGAATTTGAGTTTGATGGAGAAGTTGGGATTGATTGTAAGCTAGATACGGGAGACATTTCTTGTGGAACTTCAAGAAAATCTTCATTTTCACTTTCTTGATTTCCTGATTCTTCATTGAAAATGGAAATTTAATCTTGAACTTTCTTCTCTTTCCAATTCCAAGCAACCTACTCATTAAAGAGAACATCTCTACAAATAATCAATTTATTCTTCTTCAAAATAAAGAGTCTATAGCCCTTTGATTTTGAGCTATAACCCACAAAGATGCATTTTTCACTAGCTTCATCAAGTTTGTGCCTCACTTCTCTTGGAACATAAGCAAAACAAATACATCCAAAAACTTTCAAGTGGTTCAATGATGGTTTCCTTCCACTCCATGCTTTAAATGGAGTTTTATTCTCCACCGCTTTTGTTGGACTCCAATTCATCAAATAAATAGCCGTATACATGGCTTCACCCCAAAATGATTTAGGTAGCCCTTTCTCGTGAAGCATTGATTTTCCCATCTCAATAATTGTTCTATTTTTTCTTTCTGCCACTCTATTTTGTTGTGGAGTGTACCCAATCGTTAATTGCCTCTCCAAGCCAATATCTTCACAAAACTTTTCAAACTCATTTGAGTTGTACTCTCCACCTTTATCACTTCTTAACACTTTGATAAGATGACCACTTTGCCTTTCAACAAGCTTTTGAAATTTTTTTAAAATAGAGAACACATCTGATTTTTGTCTCACGAAATAAATCCATGTCATTCTTGAAAAATCATCAATGAAAATAATAAAAGACTTGTTACCCACTTGAGTTGGTGTTGTCATCGGTTCACACACATCGGTATGAACAACCTCCAGTGGTGCTTTATCCCTCTATGCCTTCTCTTTCGGAAATGACTCTCGGTGATGCTTGCCAAGAGCATAACTTTCATAAACTTCTTTAACTTCTTGTATTGTTGGCATGTAATGTCGGTAAGTTATAAAGAAAAAGAGAAAAGAAAAAAAAAAAAAAAAAAGGGTAGGACCCACAGCTTTTGTAAAGTGGTCATAAGACCACGTTTTTTTTTTCATTTTTTCATGTTCTCTGTTTTCTTCTCTCCCGCAGCCTCTCTGTTCCTCTTTATTTTCTTTTTTTCTTTTACAACTTCAAATCTTGATTGCTCTCTCAATCCTTGGTAGATTTGAGAGCCGTTTGAGGCAAAACGATGAGCACGACGAGCTCTACGTGCTAGTACCAAAAATTCCAGCTTTTGGTCCTCTTTGGGAGCTCGAATTTAAGAACCCATTTCTAGGGATTTTGCTCATTTTGAGGTAGAAGCATCTTAATCCACTCCTTTCTTGTTCTATAGTGAATTACACCTCCTTATTATGTCAAACATGTTTAATTGGGAGTTAATTGTATCTATGATTGTATGAATGATGTCTAAAGAATTTTCAAGAGCTTGATTATGACTTGTTTCATGTGTAAAATATGTTTAGATGTTGCTTTATCATGCCCACTATGTGTTAACATGCTGAAAATGACAAATGAGAACATATTTATTTAGATTGTGCCAAATTTCCCATTATCATAATATTGAGATTATATGTACATCCATGCACATGTCATTGGGATGCATGAAATGGGAGAATTTGTCTTGAAATGAAAATGGGGGAAATTTTGGGAGAAGAGTTTTGTCAAATAGTTTTGATAAACCCGGTCGCTGTGGGATTACTAACGGGCTGGAGGTTAATATAGCCTAGAGGGGACTAGGGAGTCGCCCTAGCGTGGTTGAGCTATTCGGGCCCCTCGATGACACTGCGGGGTTACCAAAGGTCTAGGGACGATAGTCAATCCTCCTCTCGTGTCGCGGCGGGGTTACCAAAGGGCGGGCTGTATTAACATTTGAAAGTGATGGTTTTGTGAATGAAAATGGGGAATGACATTAGCATGCATTGCATTTCATTGCACTGCATGGTTTATAATTGGAATTGACGTGCATATTGTTTTAATTCCCTATTTTGCATGATCCCTATTTCCTATTGGCCTATGCTTTGTTTGGATTCACAAGGACACAAGAATTGTGTCTTAAGTGTCACCTACTGAGCTTTATGCTCACCCTACTATTTATATTATTTTTTTCAAGTCTTGGAAATGAACCGGTGGACGACAATCCACCTCAAGCTTGAAAGTTGTTAGAATGTTGTTTGTTATTTTGTATTTTGACCGTTTTATGTATATTCATAGTTGTGGGGATATAACTAAGTTAGTATTCATGGCCTTGTAACTTAAGAACGAACTTATCTTTTGTTTGATGTAAATGAAACTAATGGAATTATGGTATATGTTTCCATGCAATTGTATCATGTAACGTTGTAAGACAGGGACTTTAAATATTAATCTTGTATTTTGGGACTGTAATTATGATAATTTAGATTAATTGGTGTGTGGATGTTCCACCATGAGAGGAACTATGTTGAGGTATAATGAACGGATGAATGAGATGCTGGATGATATTATGTGTTTTGTGTATTGGGACATGTTGTTGAAGACCCTTTTTTAGGGGAGGTTATGTCGATTTTTTTTAAATTTTGGCATCAGCTAGGGTCGTTACATGGCAGCCCATACACCATGCTATTTTGTTGTAAATTCTTTAAGCTTTGGAAATTCAAATGGCCAAGTCTTCTATGCCAAAGCCATGACTTATCAACAACATCCATCTTCAAGGCCATATTTTTTTAACATGAAAAAGTGAGAGGAAAGCTTCTATTTTTGTCCATCTTGATTTTTGCCACAATATGATTTTGTCCTCCCTTGTCATAAATTTTGCAAGAGTCCTCATCAAAATGAATGGAGTACCCATGCTCTACAAGCTGTCTAACACTTAACAAATTTTCCTCCAAATCCGGAACAAGTAACACATCCTGAATATGCTTTCTTCCTTTTTTTTGTCTCTATGGCAATAGTACTTTTTCCCTTTGCTTGGACCAAGGCACTGTTTCCCATCCTCACTTGAGAATTGGATGAAGAATCAATCTCTAAGAATATATTTTTATCTCCGGTCATGTGGTTACTGCACCCACTATCAAGAAACCACACATCATCCTTTTGTTCCATTGTCGTGTGATAAGCATAAAACATGCTTGCTTCACCTTCTTGCTCTTCGGAAAAATTAGCTTGCTGATTTGTTTTCAACCAGCAATCTTTTTGAACATGTCCAAATTTCTTGCAATTGAAACATTGAGGTTTTCCCCGAAACCAACAATCTTTGTCAACATGGCTACTTCTCTTGCAAATTCCGCAATTTTGTTGAGTGGACTCTATATTTCCACTTCTCTCAAAATTATTTCTTCCTCTTCCTCTTGAATTTCCTCCTCTTCCTCTTCCGTGTCTTCCACTTCTCTAAGATTCACTTTTGGATCGATCAAAACTTGATGGGTATTTTTCTTGATTTTTGGAACTAACATTGAGCTTGGATTGAAAAACACTTTCAGTTGTCTTTTCGAAGCGCCTACTTAACCTTTGGTCAAATGCTTTTATGGAACCCATCAATTCTTCAACACTCAAGTTTTCAAGCTCTTTAGTCTCTTCAATAACAGCAACAATAGAGCTATATTTTTCCGGCAAACTAATTAGAATTTTTTCAACAATTCTTTGATTAGAATATCTTCCCCATAGGTCTTCATTTGATTTACCACCTCCATAAGTTTAGAAAAATAATCTTTCAATAACTCCATTTATTTCATTTTCATATTTTCAAAATCTCTTCTCAAAGATTGGAGTTTTACAATTCTTACCTTCGTACTGCCTCTATACTCCTTCTCGAGGATATCCCATGCCTTCTTTGCTTTAGAAGCATTGATAATTCTGGGAAAGATTGTATCAGCAACTCCTTGTTGAATCAAGCCTAAAGCTTTTGTATCTTTCTTCTTATGATCTTTGAATTGTTGTCTTTGGGCATTCGTCAAAGTTGTTGTATCCTCCGGCTCATCATACTCACCTTCAACATAATCCCATAAATCATATGAGAGAAAAATGGTCTTCATCTTCACATACCAAAAATCATAATTTTCCCCATAAAAAATGGGAAGTGCTGATTGATGGGCACCTTGGTTTTGATTGCTTGTAATCGTCATCACGATGGATCTTCTTCGGGTTTTGTTTTCTCGTCAATAAGCTTCACGCCCAGTTTGCTCTTGATAGAAATCAAGGTCTGATACCACTTATGCTGGCTATAGTTTCAACCAACTAAATAATTTCTAAGTGAAGAGAGGAGAGAAACAAATATTGTGTTGTATTGAACTCTTGGTTGTGTTGATATCTTAACAACAAATCCCTTACACTATATATACTATTCTCCCATAGACCTTTAAGCTTTTCAAGACAAATCTCAACCACACGCATGATACATGTACTCACTTGATATACGTACATATTTGATACATGTACCTACTTGATACATGAATAAACCCAAGATGCACAATGAACATGGCATTAATTTATTTTTAACATTGGTTACTTAAGGTGACTAGGTCCTTTTTCACTCGAAGCATATATTGTTCCTAACTTAATTATATTTTTAGGCAAAAATAGGACATATTTGATAGTTTGATGCACTTATCTTACTCTAAAAACTTCATTCCATCCCACGTTGTTTTGAAAGTTCTGTCAGGCTGGTTTATAATTCTTATTGAGGATTACTCCTGCTTAATTCTGAAACAAGCAGAGATGCAAAAGCATAAAGGTGCAATCTTTTGGTTTTATTTTTCTTTTTGCCTCCTGTTTGTTCGACATGATCTCATTTGCATGGTGATGTATCTGTATTATGTTTCTAAATCTTACTCGAAGGTCACACAAACCACAGCATGAAGAATTAAGTAAAAACACCATGTTAGATATCTACCTGCTAATTATATGCTTTAATTTTTTGAATTAAGAGCATTTTTGACTCTCATGCTGATGATTATACATAGGATCGATATGAAGAGGTTAATATAATCACGAAGGATGGCAACTATGGTTGGCGTGCTTATGAAGGTCCTTATCTTTTCACTCCTCAACAGTCACCTGGAGGGAATACATCTATAAATTCGATAAGCCCAATCTTCCCAGTAATGGGATACACTCACTCTGACGTGAACAAGAAAGAAGGATCAGCAGCAATTATTGGTGGCTATTTCTATCGGTCCATGACTGATCCATGCATGAATGGAAGGTGAGTGAGCTTTTTTTTCTCTTCAATTTAGTCTTTCTATGGATGAGACTTTCATATTTTTCCCGACAAACTGGTTACAGTAAGACCTACAGAAACGTGTATGGGTTCGGGGAAAGGATCCTTGAATTTTGGGTAGCTTTTGTTAAACCGGGTCGAATACTTTATGATCGAAATCCCTGACCACGTCCTATAGGGATCATCGTATCAATAGCAATAAGCCCTGTTTGAAGAGGCTCATATGCAGAACGTCGTGAAATAATACCCGGAGCAGGGATTCAATTAACTGAGATTAAAATGTGTGGAATTCGTATATGAAAAGGTATAAAATGGAAGGAAAAGAATCATGCAGCCTCAGAGGCAGTAATGATTTTTGATGAATTAACTTCTTTGCACTTTCAGCAATTCATGGAAGAACGAATGACTTCTTCGATCTTTTTCTTGATTTCAGCCATTTATTCATTCAATTCACAGTCACAGATGAGACGAAAGGACTTCTTTTAGATATTGGAATCCCCATCTAAATGGATTCATCTTATATTTCAGTAAATAACAGAATCGTGGATAGGAAAACTAGACTAACGACCTACCCTAATTTATTGTAGAAATTTTCACGATCAATTGAACCATGCAAACTAGAAACACTTTTTGTTGGATAAAGGAACAAATTACTCGATCCATTTCCATATAATATAAAAGGTAATTCAAATGCCTCTTGATATTAACAGGACATTGTAAAAAAAGAATGACAATCTACTAAATTCACACTTTACATGGAAACAGTGTTAGGATATAGGACATTGGCTTGAAAAATAATTACTGAAGATACAATTAACATGTCAATGGATTCTGCAGGTATATATATGGAGATCTATATGCAGGTGCTATATGGGCAGGCACAGAAAATCCTGAAAACAGCGGGAATTTAACCACAAGCCAGATTTCTTTCAACTGTGCTCATCACTATCCGATACCATGCAGCTTTAAACCAGGAAGTTCACTTCCTGCTTTAGATTCCATCCTCTCATTTGGGGAGGACAACAATAAGGATATTTTTATCCTAACTGGCAGTGGATTGTTCAGAATTGTTCGTGCGAGTCGCTGCAATTATACTTGTGCAAAGGAAAATGTTACAGCTACTGCAACACCAGGTCCTGCAGTTTCTTCCCCACCTTCTCAGGTAAGCCAATTAAGTCATCCATATTAGAATCTGATGCGCTCTTAGGATCTTCTCTTTTGTTGCTTTTGCTGAGTTTCGTCTAGTGTGTTGCAAATCTGTATGTTATCTCTAGAGAACGATTTGGAGTGGCTTGTATGTAGAGCTTCGGTGCTTGTTGATAAAATTAAAAATTAAGTACTAAAAATTTTAAGAGTTTCAAGTCTTAAAGTTTTAAGAGGTATTGTAAATTGAGAATTTTATTTTTATTTTATTGTTTTTTCAGATTTTAAGTGTTTAACATTCGGTGATAAATACTCTCAAACCCTAACCCTCTCTAAGGGTTTGGGGCAGCGCTAGAGAGAGAAACATCTAGAGATATAAACCCCAAACCCTTCAGATCCTCCAACTCTTCTTTCCATTTTGATCCAGTTTTCTCTTCTTTGTTCATCAGAGTTTTCTTTTCTCCTTTGCATAGGAGCTTTCTCTTTTCTTAAGAGATTCTCTGTTTGTCAAAGTATTTTCTTTGGATTTCCTTTTGTTCTTTTGTTCTTGATGGTTTCCTCTATGGTGCTCTTGGGTCTTCCTTTCATTCCTTGTAGAACCGGCAAGATGTGAATCCGGGAGTTCTTCGTTTTAGACGATTTGATGACCCATCAGTGCAAAATTTTATTTTAGATCCGGGTATTGCTTTCAGTTCTTGTGTTTTTATGTTAGTGTTATTTTATCTTGGTGTCTTTGGCCTTTTAGATCTCGTGGTTTGCCTCCCTTCTCGTTCTGGGTGAAGGCTTCACCGTTTCGGGCTTGGTCGGCAAAATCAATTTCTCCTACTTCTCGATTGCTGACGCATCTGGGCTATCCTAGTGGGATGCTCTGTTCTTTGATTTGTTGGCCCATGGTGAAGAAATTTGGGGTACACAGTTTCTGTTGGGTATCCAAAAATGAATGTTGCTTTTGGTGTTTTCTAGTCATGGGGTTCAGTTAAAGCAGTCGGTGGTTTGGTTCCTTTCGCCGGCAGCGTGCTCATGGGGTTTCTGGTTTGTGATTGTCAGTGGCTTGGTGATGTGAGATATTAATTTATTTTTGGCAATTATCATAGACATAACAAGTTCAAATTGAGTTGTAATTTAAATTACTTGTTCTACAAGTCATCAAGTTCGACAGGGACTACAAAATTAGGAAGGAGTTCAAACTTACCATACTTGAAGAGTTTGTGAAGAAAAGGGTAAGAACACCACTTTAGGAAGGAATCTAAACAAGGTTGGACACATTCTACACTTACCATTTTGGTTGGAAATCACCGTAGAATGAAACTAGGCTGAAGGAACCAAAATATTCAGGTTTGCCAACCAACCGGTTCAAGATGCTCAAGTTTGAGTCATTACCAAACTTGAGCCAGTTTATCATCCATGGACCGGTTCAAGATGTCCTAATTGCTATACAATTACAGTTTCCTTATTTTGAATTGTTTCCTAATTGGTCTAGAATTGTACCAAATCCTATGCAGGAATTATACCTTATTTTCAGAGGGATTAGGTCATTATAAACTCTATATAAACCATGTCATATACATCAATTTATTTACAACTTTTACATTATTATTCAGATATTATTCAAAGCCTTAGGAAGATTATTTTTCCTAAAAATCAAAGTTGGTTTTTTTGATATCTTTCTAGAACACATATATATAAACAAATAGTTTAGAGTTGCGGTGTTCGAATCCTGATCGTGATCATACAGTCGTATTAAAATCGATCAGACGAAGTAGATCTTCTTCTAAATCTTTTAGACGGTTGAAGAACAGAAATAAACGCAGTCACACTTTGGAAGGATTGGAGCATTCGCGAAGTGTTGTCTGATCTACTTGCTACTCATCTACAAATATTAAGTGTAAGCCTGAGATCAAGTTGCTGTTGGATGGGGGGTCGCAAAGCAAGAGGATCGTCAGCGGTTGGTGTTGGGTAGAACGATAGGGTGTGAGCCAGAATCAAAGTTTGGTATACTTTGTTTCAAGCATAGTGGACTGATTTACTTTGGACTGAACAAATCCACGAGGTTTTTCCCATAACAGAAGACGTATTTTATCAACTGTGATTTCTAACTTTATACTTTGCTTTATTTTACTGCATGCAATTAATTGTTTAACTGCTAAAACAAGTACAGTTGGTAACAACACAGATTTGTTTTACAAAACCTAAAGCTTTCCCAAAATACATTCCACTGCGTACAACTCACAAATTGGTATTAGAGTCAATCTCTACACATTGAGTTAATCCTTGTTGGAAAGTTTAGTTTTGTTTTCAAAAATTGTTTTAATTATATCTTATACGTTGAAAGAATGCGGTTCTAATCAATGTGGTCTTTTATTTGAAGGAGATAATTACAATTTTTGGAAATCAGAGATGAGAGCCTATTTGCAAAATTTAGGTAGTAAAACTTGGGCGATAGTTGAATCTGACTATACACCTTGTAACGACCTGAACCCGCAGGTCCGAACCGTTAGCCGAGTCCTTAACCGAACCCGAGGTCAACTAGAGACAACACCATTCTTTCTACATCAATACATATTATACGTGTCATTCTAGATTTATAAAAAAAATTAAGTGATGATAAATAAATAAATAATAAAATGAGATTATACCTACAAAGTATGTCAAAACGGTTTACTAACCCATCAAACCCTGTGGAGGAGCATCGTCCGCCACTTGCCATCCGTGTCCTGAAAAATATTAAATATAAGGGGTGAGCAAATTGCTCAGTAGGTGGTGCCTAAGACACACCTCTTGTGACCCCGTGAACCCAAGCAATGAATAGAAATAGAGAATAGGGATCATACTATGCCGGGAAAGAATACAACATCAAATCCAATTTCAAAATTACAATGTCATGTCATGATATGTGATGCCATGAATGTCGCTCCCCATACTTAAAATCACTTCCATTCTTCACCTTTCAAACTGTTAATGTAACCCCCTTCGGTAACCCCTCAGCGACGAGAGAAGGATTGGCTACTATCCCTGACCCTTGGTACCCCCGCGGCGTCATTTGGGACCTAGATAGCTCAACTATGCTAGGGCGATCTCCCTAGTTCCCTCTAGACTACATTAATGCCATGGACCCTCGGTACCCCCTTAGCGTCCGGGTTTTCACAAAATTCTTTTTTCAAATCTTTTTTTTTTTTTTTTTTCATAATTGTGGTTGTATAAAAGAAAAGAAAATATGTACAAAAATCACAGAGGGCATACCCTCAGAATGTAAAAGCACCAATGAGAGTTGAATACAAACATCCAAACTCACCAAACAAAAAGAAAATCAAAACAAGGAAAAATGGAAAAGTCCATCTCCAAAACAAAGCAAATGAAAACCATAGACCACCACTGACAACTCCTTGTCACAGCCTTCAATATTCAGCAAATTAAGGAAAAGTTCAGTGAAAAATCACAAGCAACTCACCAATTCAAACAGCAATATCAGAGAGAATGATACTATGAATATCCAACACCTCTAAGAACACATTCTCTGCCACAATCTCTGGAGCAGTAGCATTACCATATAGTCTAGCATTTCGCTCGTGCCAAATTCCCCAAAGCACTGCAGCAAATAAGGTTTTATGAAAACCCACAGTTGAAATAGTCTGGAACCAACACCCCTTTTTCATTTCAAAACATTTATTTCCCATTTTTCTTGCCCAATGCTATGCATGAATGCATCATGCTTTTCCATGCCATAATTCTTCACATATTTACATTTAAACCACATATCACACTTAAGAGAAATTTGTGTAATACATGTACCATGCTTTCAAATTTTAATTACGGTAATTTAAATACACAAGGCATGAAATAAAATCACCTAGAGCATTTTTTTTTTTTTTTTTCAACCTAATAATTAATAACATGTCACATACATTTAATAACACATAGGATCATGTAGCTTCACATAAGAGAGTACAACAACAAAAGTGAACATGCTTGGCCCTTGGCCTCTTTACATACATACTTATAATGTCAAATGTTAATACTTAAGTATCATTACATGTCAAGAAAGCTACATAAGCTTCTAAAGTACCATACACCCATGATATACAAAATGTGATATCAAAAGAAAGGCATGCTAAACACTTACATGTCAATACATAAAAATGCTTCAAATAGCTTATAAGCTTCTAAGGATGATGAGCATCCAAGAACATAGTCTCTTTACCTGAAAAACAACCCAAACCACTAGGGTGAGTAATCAAGTTACTCGTAGAAAGAAGCATATGCGTATACCCTAAAGTTTCAATATCATTGCAAGATTAATATAGACGAATACAAGGGAGCATTCCTCTTAACGTCTATGTTCAAGGTGTTCTAAGGGATCATCTTAAGCTAACTTAGATGAAAGTATATAAATTCAACTTAAGCATGTCATCTTATACGATTCAAATAGGCAATACACATATGATCAATTATCACATGATATACAATTATCATATTACATACACAAGACTCATATAAGCATAAACAATTTTTCATGAAATTAAAACATGCTTTTACATACCACATCAATTAATTCACATAATTGCATGCTTTAAATACACAATTAAGTCATTTAAAGGAGGATTCAACACAATTGAGCATGCTATATAATAAAACACATAGAAAATCACACAAATGAGCAAAAAGTTGTGGATTAAGAACCCCTACCTCAAGATTATGCAAAAACCCTCAAAATGGGTCTCAATTTTCAGACTTCCTAGAGTGGCCAAAAGCTTAAATTGCTGGTATGGATTTGAAGATCTCGTCGTGGGCTTCAATTTGCCGCAAACGGTACTTAAAAACACCAAGAATTTAAGGAGTAATCAAGATTTAAAACTTTGATTGAAAAAAAAAAAAAAAAAAAAAAAAGCAAAGAAAAGGGTGAGAGAGAGAGTTCAACAGGGAGAGAAAAAAAGGGAAAGAAATGAGGCTAAAAAAAAAGCTTCTTTGTCTATATTAAACATTAATGTGGGCCCCACCTATTTTCTTCTTATTTTTCTTTTTCTTTCACTTTCATTTTACACCACACATATACATATATACACATATTAAATCACAACCATATACCACACATTAAATAAAATAAACATGATGCAATTGAACCCAATTAAAATTCCTGTACACAACAATACCAGTAGCGGATCCCACACGGGTCCGTCCGGCCCGAAAAACTGAAAATTGCAAAAATGACAACATTGCATTTCAAAGAGTGTTGAACTCAATGAAATGCTCCAAAAAACTCACCAACACACCCGGCACACCCTACGGTGTCCGGTACGCACAATGTGAAAAGACAAAAATGCCCTCACTGCGACAAAATTTCTTGAAAAAAAAAATGGTGAAAATCGGAAGCATCACACACCTCCTACAGTAGATACAACTGTAGATGGTAAAATAGTGAAAGAGTTAAAAGATACTTTTTCTTTTATTGCTATCGAAACTGAGCGTAATGATGCTAATGGCAAAGCTTTATATTCAATTATTAATTCTGTTGTTGTAGACACTAAAATTTTAATGGATTTTGGTTTTGACAAATTGACCTATCAAATATGGATTTAATGTTTAATTAAGTTATTTAACTACCCAAGCTTAGTCCACTTAAATTATTTAATTAGCCCAGCCCAGATGATTAAATGGATAGATAATTATTCTTAATAAAACATATTTGGAATAATTATTTTTAAGGATAATTATCATAATAACCAGCTCGCCTAGTTATAATTTTTTCCTTATCAAAAGAGGACACGTGTCATCATCCTATTAATCCAAGAAGCCTATAAATAGAGGCCTGGAGGAAGAAGGAAGGGGTACACAAATTCAGACTCAGAAATCCAGAAGGTCCAGAATTAAGAGAGTCAGAAATCCAGAGGGTTAGAAATCCCGAGGGTAAACCTGAAAGTGAAGAACACCAAGCACATCCAAATATGTGACGTTTTTCCCAAATTCAACAAAGAACACAAATTCAGAATTCAGAAGTTCAGAAATTCAAACACAAATTCAAAATTCAGAAGTCCAGAAATTCGGACACGAATTTAGAAGTCCAGAAAT